AATATAAAATAAAAGAAATTAAAATATTTTGAGGTAATATTCATTTTATACATTATATTAACACTGTAAAATTTACTACTATAGGGTGTGATTGTAAGTTTAGTTTATTTCAATACTTGACTCCAGATGACACTCAGGCCGCACACAGTCACAACACACATAAACTGCTGCTCGTTCAGGCCCTGGCTGGTTGTCGTACAGCACAAATCCACATTTTTAATACTGTCCTCAATGATTTCTGTGACCTCTTTTTACATCAGATTGGATTATTCTTGTATATCATGTTGTCGCTGACAAAGGACTCATTTTAGGCATTGAAGGCATGGAATTTCCATATTCTGTGTCTTTGCTCAGGCTCTTATCACAAATTCCCTAATGTATAGTCAGGGTTGAGGACCACCATGTAAGGAGCAACATGCTCTTCTAGGATCATTGCTTTGGGCCAAATGAACTCAAGGCCCTGCCTTAACTGTTCAAGCCCTTGAAGTAAATTATTTACTTCATGAATACTTTGGCATTTTTCACTGTTTTATTGTTTAAGCATGTTGTCTCTCGATTTTTTTTATCATGTTGACAATATGATCAAGCAATAAAGTTGTTTGATCATATCTTCTAACAATAAAAATGCTTGAGCGCCCTTTACCAGGAGTGTTATGAGTATATTTTACTTATAGCTATTTATTTTTTAAATTGAATTTATTGGGGTGACAGTGGTTCACAAAGCCATACAGGCTTCGAAGTGGACAGCTCAGTAGAACATCATCCATCCGCACTCTGCCTCGTGCGGGCATCTCCCCAAAGTTTCTTTCTGTTTAATATACATACACGTGTGCCTGTATTTTGTTCCCCGTTCTAAATTGTTTGTTTCTATATGTCTGTGTGTTTTTTGTTCTCAAATAGATCAAAATGAGTATCTGCAAAAATACAACCTAATGTTAACAATTAGAAAGAGTCGTATCTTAAAGATTCATATTATTGCCCATATTAAACCTTTTGGCATCAAAAATAAATTATATATGTATCATCTTCAAAGAAGAGATTTTTTCTGTTAGGGATTTGTGTTTTTACATAAGTAGGGTCATTTTGCATTAGAAGATCTAATCAATTTTTATCTCAATTTCTCACCTAAATGGGTTATGTTTTTAATTATCACTACTTAATAATATTGTCATATACTTATAATCATTTACTTTCATTTAATTCTCACAAATGGTCCCACAAGGTAGGATCAGTTGCTATACAGATGAGGAAATTTTTCACTTTACAGATGAGAAAATTGAGACATGAGCTCATAGTTTCTCTTCTTAACATAAATTCTAAATGATATCTAATTTCCAGTGTAAAGTTATTTCAAGGACATTGCTGCAATACCAAATGTAAAAAATAATTTTGTTTCATAGTTTGTATTAAATATATTTATTTTAATTCTTTAAAAACTGTTTACAGGCCAGATTATTTTTACATAATGTGAGTAACCAATATCCTTCATTCACTGATCCAGGCAGATTTGAAAATACAAGCCATATCAACTTCTGCTTTTTCACATTGTGGTCTCATGATATGACCAATGGGCTAGCAATTACTTTTTCTAAGATTGTTTACTCCCATACAATTTTTCTCAGGACGTGTTACTAGCATTTTGAGAGAGAATTCTCCTTTGTGCAGTTCAGATACCACTCATGCTTTTAGCATCCATCCTGGCCCTTACCCACTGAACAGAGGTAACGCCTTTTCCCACTCACAATTTGCAGTGCTCCCTAAGGGTCATTGAGAACCACTGAGCTAATGAAAGACAGATAAATCCCTGGCCCATGCAGCCAATGTCTCACATCAAATTACCTCACACCAGTAGGTAATAGTGTCTATTGTCCATCTGCTATATGTAATTGTTTGAAATTTTACCAGAGTAGGATTGCCAGAGTAACACAAAATTTCAGGATGCCCAGTTATCTTGTAACTCTGTATCAGAAACAGTGCAAAGCTAATGTCACATTCTGGTCTCTCTTTAACCCACTGAGTCAAGATCATTAGCAAACTGGAAATTCCAGTATCTGAGATTTGGAAAGAGGTGTTAAGTGACACATCTTATATGTTAAGCTTATAATGGCTTGTAATTTTTACTCTCATCAGGTAAAAATTTATGTTAACAAATAATTAGTCCACTGAATGTAAGTAAAGACAAAATACTCATGAAAAATTATATTTCTCCTGCTACAGTATTAGACATTATTTATTCTTCAGCTACAATATAATTAATTAATTAATTAATTCCACAATTACTTTTAAAAAAAAGCCAAAGAGAGTCAGCAACTTAATCAATAGGGCAACCAAAACTCAAAGTATACCATATCAAATATAAAAAAATTGTGAATTTAATTTCTTGTAGAATAAGAGATAAGGGAATTATAACAAAGAATAATTTCAGTTTTCCTGATTGAATTGAATGTGAAAACTTAGAGCAGTGATGTTTCATACAATCTCTATCGACATGACTGACCTTAAGGAGAAAATGATAAGGCATTATTATCACATAATATGATGTCTCAACTGAATGTACAACAGTTTCTCTATTTGTATGTTGATTTGTTTCGGATATTTTTTAAATGACAGTTCCTTAAGGAAAATATGCCACAGCAAATAAAAGATCTTTTAACCCATGGTAAAGAAACATAGTAAAGCCATTATAAATGATGCAGCAATTTTATGAAAATGAAAACTGCTATTAAATCTGACAGGCTGTCACAACCACAAGGAAAATAATAGATGTAATTATGGCAATAAAATTATATTTGTATTTAGTTTCTTTCAAGGAGTTAAAATAAAAGTATTTTCTAAGTTAACAGTTTGGAATAATGTTGGCAAAAATAGAAAAAACTCAGATAAACATCTCCAAATATAAAGCATATTAATATTATTTAGAGTCACTGCTCTACATGCTTTTGTTTTTCCTCAAATTTCCTTTAAGATAATTACATTTATATTCCTTTGGTTTCCTGTGCATAATTATGTTATATTTTTTTTCTGTGTGATTTAGTATTTTTAACTAGGCTTCCTATTACTTGGCTTCAATAAATCCATAATCAGCTAAAATTGGATTATTTTTGCTTTTCACAGCATATAATAAAGTTTGAATTTCCTGCAGTTATTTTCCCTGTTGAAAAATCACCATTTCTTTTGTAGCTGTAAATAAGAATGCTGTACAAATATGTGATATAATTATCTCCACCTGGTATTCAGTGCTGCGCCTTCATTATGGGCATTTTCTCAGACAGTGATGAAGCATTGCGCATGAACACATATTAGCTTTGAGCTCAGTGATAAATGCCCTATGCAGTAACAATGAAGAAATTAGTTTCACTATTCATCAAAAGTTACCCCAGAGCAATTTCTGGCTTAGGACTTGGCACTTTGGCTACACCGCTTAATGTTTAAGAAACATCAGCTCTGCTGGACAATTTCACTAAACCCCATGAAATCAACAACAAAACCAGTTTGTTCACAGTAGTACATGGTTTTCTTTCAATGGTGTCTTTAATCCAGCGTGCAATGAATAGAACTCGCCTATTAACACATTCTTTGTAACTTTGCTCTTTCATAAAGACACCTCTGAAGATCTAAGAAATGCTGGCCTCTCTTTAGTAACAAGTATCTTCATAGAAACCAGATATATAGAGTATGGCATACCAGATCCCTTTAATCCTAGACAAAGTTCAAAGAAGCTGCACATTGTGCCTTATTCGAAGTGTAAAATTTGTGTCAAGAAACAATCAAGTCTCTCCCAAACTAAAGGACTTGGGACAGGAAGGGGTAATAGGGGAGAGGGGAAGGGGGAAAAAATAAAAAAAAAAGGACTTGCTAAATCTGAGCCGGGGCGGAGAAATCTCGGAGGCGCACCCGTGAAAACAGCTGGCCCTGAGGGGGTTTCAGAGGGCCCAGAGAAGATGCTCGTCTCACAACAATCAGTGTAACTTGCTTTTAGTGCATTATCTTGATTTAAACTTATATCTACCATATCAATTACCAGTACTGCCCAGGTCCTGAATCCTACATATGTATTAAATTTTCTTCCGAATTATTTGTGTGGCTTTAAAGGTCATTGAAAACCCAAAATAATAATGCTACTACAATCCCAAGGTGCAGGGTTTCTAATTTATATTCAGAGAACAATCTCCCAAACAGGAAGTGGCTCGTTATTTACTTTTAGTCTATAGTGAAAAAAAATGTATCCTGGAAGTCAGCTATGTGATATCACTTTCCCTCTACAGGTCTCAGTTTGCTGATCTATAATGTGAGATTATTTTGACTGGATGATCTCTAAAGTTTTTTTTGTGTGTGTGCTCTGACATTCCTTCATTTTATGATTCATTATATAATTTTATAGATAAATTTCCTAGTGATTTGTGGGTTTTTTTGCTTCACAATGGCCATCTTAAAAATGGAAAAGCATGTGGTTCTACCATTGCAAACTCTCATGTCTTGTCCCAAATAGAAAAGTATCAGATTAAGAATAGTGTATGTTGTTTTTCTTCCTGCTTTTTCAAAAACATGCAATTACATAAGGTATAAAAGTTTTTTCTCATTTTAAGCATGAATACTAATATACCTAAAATAAAGCACTGTTTTTTCTAGCGCAGCATTAATTTCAGATACTATTGGGGCTGTATTCTGCATATCTGTAACTCATGTGGACATGAATTCTGCAAACAGAAAGCATCAATAACTTAAGAATGTACCTTGCCTTTGTCAAGTGTATGTTTAGAAATTTTATCTTAGTATTCTAATGCGTCTGAACTTTCTTTAATTGTAACTAAAGTACTTTTCAAAAAAACCTAGATTGCTTTTAAAATTTTGGGATGAAAATGCATTCCATTCCTTTTAATTTCATAACTTTGTTGTAAGGCTTAATGTCTTTGTTGATTGTAGGTTCTATTCCAATGAAATGATAAACAACTTTTCCAGAAAGGAAACTTTGATTAATGTCAATTTTTATCTCTTAAAAGGATCCTTCCCGGCCATTGGGGTGGAAACGTTTTGCCCCAGCTTCCTGAGGGCAGGGTTTTTAAACAGCATCCAGGCTCCGAATCCAGTGCCAGCGGAAGGATCACTACCCCCCAGGATTCCTGCTGGTAGGTATTTCCGGTGAAATTTTCTGCCACCATATACAGCAGTAGAACGGTGGTCACAGTTGATAGATCTACAATACAAAAATAAGTATTTCTAAGCCATATTGTTGAAAGAAATGCAAGTGGCTTTTTTTAAAGGCAGGAATCCCATTTATGATACCCAGTGCTTTGAAATGGTGTCAAGGAAGTGGAGGAAGCATCTGTGACCTGAACACCCAACTAGCACAGTGCTGCCTCTTCTTTAGGGCGAGTTTTTACATAGATAAAAACTGGAGCTTCAGGTCCCAAACTCGTAACTCAAGAATAAAACAAGGATGAACTTAAGTTACTATTGCCACTTAGAACTGGCCAGAAAAGATCACTTGAAACTGAGTATTATTAACAGAAAAAGTAATTCCATTTCTGGTGAGTTAAGATTTAACTAAAATTTCATTTCATAAAATAAAAATGATTTAATGAAAAGCCAAAAAGTAGCAAATTTGAAAGAAATTTTAGAAAAAAAATTAATGTCCTGTTCTCCCTAAAAATAACAACCTGACCAAAGCCATATTCTATCAATGAGAGAAACAAAATATAGAATGTGGAACATTTTAAAATGCAATTTTAAAGTTTAGTAAATCAGTTCATGGGTTATCCATGGTATTATTGTAATCACAAATTGTTTTTTCTCTGTCATTTTGTAAAATAACAAGGTGCCTCCCTCCCATGTGAAAGATGCAAACTTACTTTATACTTTATATGTCTTAACAAAATAGCATTAAGATATTGACTCTTGGGGTTTTTAACCATAATTCTTGTCCTTTTATCATAATCAGTAATTATACTGCAAATTATGGTGATGCCACCAACGTATTCAGGACGGCTGGCCCAGGTGGCAGTGTACTGAGAACATGTGAAAAGCCTGGGAAATCCAATGAAAACAAAATCCCAATATGCACATGTCTAGCAAAATTATACCAACAAAGCCCAAGATTCCAATGACAGTTGGACATTACATTGACATTGTTCTTTCACCTTTTAATTATATTTGTCTACTTCAAACATACAAAATGTTAACAAGCTATAAATATGCTTTGATGTCATTTGGTTTTGTGATTGGATAACTGCTGCCATGGTCTGACTCTGACCAACAGCACCACACCACCACAGTAAGGACCAAGATTGAGTGAATTGAAAATTAGCATTTTTAAATCTAAGGAGTGTTTGCCAACTTCTTCTCTCCCTAGAAATGAAAAGGAGATCAGTTGCACAGGAATTTTGTTGTTGTTGTTGTTGTTGTTGATGATGATATTGTTGTAAATATAAAATGTAGCTTTCATATATATTATTAATATCTCAGTGGTTGGAAATAGAAGAATAGATTATTTGATTTTAATGGCTTAACTCTTAACTTTCAATGACAGATCTTGTGGAATTAGGTATGTTTGGCAGAAATGACATAAGAAAGTTCAATTGTTACTTGACTTACTCAATTCAACATCACTGATTTTTAAAAAAAGTTGTTTTTTTAGCCCCTGAGAATGATAGAAGCAGTATTATATTTCTGTAACACATACACAGAAATCACTTTTCAGAGAGGGAACTAAAAGAACACTCTAGTATTCTATTCTTCTAGGCTTTATGCCAAATTCACCTCCAGCTTTCTTAGTAGAGAAAACTCAGTTCAGTGTTCATGACTTAACTATAAATCAGGTGTAACAAAATGGCTTCATAAAATGTTTATAGATCTAAGCTTGTTTCTGTTCCCCAAACTGAAATTAACTCACTTTTCCTAGCTAATATAACTCCTGTGAGTGATCCTTGTATGCTTTCTCCACTACTTTTCAGTAATGACTGCTGTGATTTCCGAGGTAATTTTTATCCTCTTCCATTTAACGATAGCTTATTTCCCAAGAATTCTCTTTATAATTTTTTGTAAAAAGGAATGAAGTCATAATCATGAGTTTTTATTGTTTCATATTTTTTAAAAACCCTAAAATATTTCTCTGCCATGCAGTAGCTGAACCAATGCCCTGGAAGGTTTGGATAGCAGTTCAAGGGCAGGAAGCAGTCCCCACCTGACCTCTACCATGGCACTGCAAACAGCCGGCCACAGGTTGATGTCCACTGGGCAATAATTAACTTGCTTTCTCCCAGTTGACTATATGTCACAGTACTTTGAGGATCCCTGAAAACATTTGCTGTATCCTTCAAGAATCACAAAACTTATCCTAATGACAATCCTAATTTAGTTCCCAGTTACTTATTTTAATCGGTTTTAAATGAGATAGATGTCTTGTATATAATAGTTTCTTCACATTCACATCACACTGTGCTATCAAGGAGTGATATTTTACAGCACTTAACTTTTTTTTACACTAACTTCAATATCAGAATTATTGAATCATGCGACCCAGAAAGCAGAAAAGCCTAAAATAAGTATTTATGTAACAGTTGTCAATTATTTATATTGTTTTCATTTGAACCTCTATATTCAGGGGTTTTGCATCCATGTATTCAACCAACTGCAGATGAAAGAAAAAAAAACACAGAAAGTTCCAAAAAGCAAAACTTGAATTTGCCACTCCCTGAGCACTGTGTTGAATTGATGTAAATGATGTGTAGGCGTACCCTGTTGTAGCCTATGTGCTACCTCGGTTATACGCACGTGCAACTCATTTTTTATGAGGGACTTCTGTGTCCTTGGATTTTGGTATCCTGGTTGTGGGCAAGGGACTGGAATCAATCCAGTGCAGATACCAAGAAACCACTCTATATAAACTTTCTCATTTTTAAAAATGTCTAGTAAAGGCTTATTATTCTTAGTTTCAGATAAAGAAAAACACCAGGAAATAATTGGCTGAAAGTTGAATAGCAAGTATATCCATATAATTTAATGCAATGTCTTTCATACAGTAGTCACCCAATAAAGTAAGAAAATCGCAGAAGAGAAGAGGGGAGAGCAAAAGGTGGAAAGTGAGGGGACAAGAGTGGAGAGAAGAGGAGATGGGGAGAGAGAGGAAAAATTAGAATGACATAACCGAAGTTATATTTTTAATATACACGTCCTTCTCACTGTATTCTTCCCTATTGAAATCAAATTCTACCCCTTGAAAACAATGAAAGTGCCTATTCTAAATATGTTATCAGGCATATACTCTTAAAAGATAAGCTTTTGCCCTGACTGGTCTAGCTCAGTGGATTGAGCCCAGGCCTGCGAACCAAAGGATCGCAGTTCGATTCCCAGTCAGGGCACATGCCTGGGTTGCAGGCCAGTTCTCAGCAGGGGACACATGAGAGGCAACCATACATTGATGTTTCTCTCCCTCTCTCTTTCCCTCCCCCTCTAAAGATAAATAAATAAAATCTTTTAAAAAAAGATAAGCTTTCTCTCTTTGCTATATCTAATTATTTCTTAATTTAATTCTGTAGTCAAACAGTACTTCAAAGTGGGGTAGAGAATTTCAGCATGACATTGACTACTCATTATACACAGGATCTTAGGCTGGTGACTCACCTTGTAACAGACTCTGCCTCTACCCAAAGTCTGTATGTTATTAAGGGTTTTACACGCTTAACATACACAAGTGAAAGCAGAGTAATAAAGTTTGTGAAAAATAAAATTATGCAATGATAATAATAAAGTAACATATGGACATTTCACTGATTAGGTTTTCTTTGTCACTTCACAATAACCACCTGACATTACAAGTGTCTTAAATTTACATAAGATCCAATATCACTATGTGTCTTAAAAACTAAACTTATTTATAAAATATAAAGGAATATTCATTACCTGATGATAAGTTAGAAAGTAATATCCTAGGTTGAGTATGATTTAGATCAACAAAATTCTAGCTTGCATTTTTCTGTCTGCTTGTGGGAGACTGAAAAATAACACTTTTCACAAATTAAGTCACTCGCGTATATAGATTGGATTCTTGGCCAAACTGAAATGTATGCTTTAAACTAACAAGCTTTATCAATTATAAGTGAAGTTTATGAAAGAGGAATCAGTGAAAACGGGCAGGATGTGGGATTTAGAAATGGGGAAATTCTGAATAAAGAAAATCAGTGTTGAAGATCTCTGTAGGACTTTCTTTCTGGTTAGTCTTGGCTGGTGACTGAGGAACAGTCCTTCTGAACCCCCATCTCAGCAGTTCTACCTGTGTCTTAAGTACAGTGCTGTGCATAGATCACCTCTTTTGACATGTTTACCTTTCAACACCCTTTCCATTGTACGGCACATATTAGGTTCAAAGTAAATAGCAAAGATGGAGTGAATAGTTGTCTTCACCTTATTGTCTTGTCAATACCTCTACCTACTCTGAGTCAAACGGCAGGGGAAATATGAACACATTGAGATTCAAAAATGAGATTTTCAAATACGTAGTATATAATAATGAAGTTTAATATTATTTCTTTACCCTTTGGAAAGAGATTTGGATGAGCCTTAACTTCAAATAGCCAGACCTTTTCATAGTCTCATCACTGTCCCCTGACTAGCAAAGTTGAGAAATGAATTCGCAATCCAGTTTTCTACAAACCAATAACAAATCCATCCAGACCATTTATATAGCAAAGAGCTTACCATGCTGAGCCAAGAATAAAATGTCTTCAAAGTCAATTTGATAATGATTATCAATATTTTCTTTATTACAGTTCATGTGAAATCTTATCTGATCTGGAGTCAGAGAAAATATCACATGCATTTTTATCAAGTCAAGTAATTTTTTTATTCAGAAGACATATAGTGTAGATGTTAGAAATAAGCCAGGAATGACAAATAATGTTGGAGCTCCAGAGACTCTAGGATCTAGTGGATATGAATATATTACCCGGTTTCAGTGCAGAAAAGCAATACCACAAATACGTGAGACTAGATGGCAGACTTTTGAGGAATGCATAATGAGTTAAGGAAAATAGGTGTGAAATCAATATGCCAAGGGAAATCAAATATGGAAAAGTTTATACCTTTTAAATACAATCAAACTGCAATGCACAAAAATCAAAGTAACTCATTT